ATCTTCTCGGGGCCCTCGAGGTGCACGGCCGGCTCGCGCCGCGTCTCGTGCTCGGGCCGGATCTCCAGCCACATGTGGACCTGGCCCTGGGCGACGGGGTTCGTGTCCGTGCGCAGGCCCCGCACCTCGATGGGCTTCAGCGGGTTCGTCGTGCCCTCCTTCTTCTCGTCCAGCGACTGCCACTCGCGGTGGAACCACCGGTCCTCGAGGTCGATTTTGGTCTCGCCGAGGAGCTCGTGGATGGGGTAGAAGCGGTTCCAGTCCTTGACCTGGACCTTCAAAGTCGCCGGCCCGGGCAGCACCGTGCGGAACTCGAAGGTCTCGTAGAAGTCGGGCTTCAACGTCCGCGGCCGGTGGGTCTTCGACCGGTCGTCGACCTCGCTGCCGAGCTTCACGCGGAGGTAGGGGTCCGCGGACACGCCCTCGGCGGGCTGGAGGTTGACGCCGCGGATCACGTAGACGCGCACCGTGTAGGGCGTCGCGCGCAGCAGCTTCATGGGGAAGAAGGGCTCCTCCTCGAACGCCGGGTCGCTGTCGAGCACGCGGATGATGCCCTTGAAGAGGCCCACGGGCCGCCGCGTCGACTTGGACGGGTTCGGGTGGTACTTGCCGCGGTAGACGGGGTAGGTCTCGAAGGGCTTGGTCTTGAGGTAGTTCTCGAGCTCTGTGCCGCCGCGGTCGTCCATCCACCACTCGCGGCCCGCGATGTAGTCCGCGGCCGCCCACTGGTTCGGGAAGGCGATGGGCAGCTCGCTCATCTTGTAGTGGACGTCGCCGTCGACGAGGGCGTTGACGTCCGTCGCGTTGGCGAGGCGCGCCTCGACCATGTCGAGGAACGTGATCTCGTTGTCCGCGGCCGCGTCCTGCGCCGCGAGCTCCTGCGCCAGCCGCTCCTGCTCCTCCTCGTAGAGCAGATCCTCGTAGATCATGGGCAGGTCGCTCAGCGCCATGGGGTCGAAGGCGCCCGTGCCCGGGTCGTGCGTCGGCGCGGGCGCCGCGCCCTTGGCCTCGACGAGGCCCCGCCTCTCCAACTCGTGCTGGTCGACGTCCTCGCCGTCGTTGAGGTCGTCGTCCTCCTCGTTGGCGTCGCCGTCGTCGCCGCCCCCGAAGGAGATGCCCACGGACCCGGCGCCCGCGCCGCCGTCGTTCTCCTCCTCCTCGTCCTCGGCGTCCGCGGCGGCCGCCTTGGCGCGCTCCTCCTCCTCGCGCTCGTCCGCGCGCCGCTTCGCGTCCGAGTCCTCGAAGAGCTCCATCTGGGGCGGCACGTAGCCCTCGCCGTTCCAGGACATTTTCGTCGACAGGTCCACGGACGTCGCGCCGAGCAACGGCGACTGGAGGCCCGTCGTGAGGCCGACGCGCGCGTCGTAGACCCGCAAATCCATGCACTGCGCGAAG